TACGGCAATCCAACACACAATCAGAGTGTACCACGAAACGCTGTATTACTTCGCAAGAATCTAATGGACGATTTCTGGTACAACTTGCGGGGCATGGCCAGGCTCGCCCCTCAAGCGCATGGTACGGCCATCCAACACACAATCAGAGTGTACCAAGAACCGGTGAATTACTTTTTAAGAATCTAATGGACGGTTTCTGGTACATCCTGCGGGGCATGGCCGGTCCTGCGGAAGGTTTGAAGCCGCCGCGGCTTTTTTGCGGCGGGACACCTGGTGATGCAATGCAAATTCTTTCCGAGTCAGGGGATGATCGAGTGTACCAAAAGTCCAGTGTCCAGATTGTCATCGCAATTGGAATCTACTAATGGGCATTTTTTGATACATCCTGACAGGCATGGCCGGCCCCTCAAACGGTTGGAGCGTTTCATTGAGGGGTCAGCTCAGAGGGAGTCGCGAACGTGTACCAAAAAACAGTGTGTGACTTCTTTAGAACCCAATGGGTGTTTTCTGGTACACCTTCAAGTTGCATGGTATGGCCGGCCTCGGCTTCCAACCATCCAGTCCACGATGAGCCTGTACCAGGAAACGCAGTACTACTTCTTTAGAACATAATGGGTGCTTTTCTGGTACACCTTCAAGTTGCGGGGGGTGGGCAGCAGCTTCAGTCCTGATGGACCACACATTGCCAATTGATGGTTATTAGGAATTGGGCTTTCTGCTGAAAAGTGACCGTTCGCAAGGTGTGGACCAACGTCAAACGGCCATTGGGCCACATGACGTGCAACTTTGTGTCACGGCACAATGAGCCCGATTTTCGGGGTTGCCGCAGCACTTAGGGCCAACGAAAACTGCTCAAAAGTCACAGCTTTCTCTCCTATCCCAGGATGAATCTCGTGACGGCGTCCCGTGACCAGAAAGGACCCTCCAGCGTCGTGCTCATTACCTCGACCACCCCATCGGCCTCGACGAGCCTGCACGAGACCCTGAAGGCCGGTCAAGCCGTTAGGAGTTGTGCGGCGGTCCACTTCAAGGGCCCGGCCCGGGCTCCAGTCTTCGGCGACATCAGGAGCGTCCCGGCTGCAGTTCCGCCCCTACCAAATGCTGGAGGCGTGCGAGGGGGCCGCCCCTCCTACGCGGCCAAGCAAGGGGGCGCCGACTTTATGTTCGACTACGGGCTCGCCTTCAGCCTGCGGCCTGGTGGAGCTTTTGCTCGCGGCGGATTCGGCTCGACGTGCATCGGGCGCACGTGCGGCGGAAAAGGGACGGTCTACGCTCGAGGGAGCGAGCCCTTCGTCTGGGAGCGAAAACGGAACCGGGGCGGGGCCCTCATCTGCCGGGGTGGAGGGGGGCACCTCCTGTGCTTGCGGTGCGTGGAAGCCGAGTACGAAGCTGGGCGCCCCTTTGTTTCGAGCGCGACCGGGGGCCCTGTCCCCCAGCGAGAGCTCTTTACCAAGTACGAAGCCTTTGATGGCACGAAAGAGCTTTGGGAGATACGGTCAGGAGAGGAGGCAAGGGATGGCGGCTACCAGTTCTTTGTCCAGAGGAGGGACCTCGCCCCATGTCTGCACTGCCGCGAGCCCAAGGCGGCCGCCCTTTCGAGGCGTGGTGTCAAGAGAGCGCTCGAGCAGGGGGCGAGTCCACGGGAGCTCGGCACGGCGGCCCTCCTCTCGGAGCTCCATCGGAGCAAGATCCCTCCGATTGCTGTTGCTCCCGGCCTTTTTCTCCTCCCACAGCTTGACGCCTCCAGTGGGCGCCTTTTGGAAGTCTCTGCAACGGGACGGAGCCTCAGTAATGTCCCACGGCTCGTCAAGGTCGACCACATGGGCAGCTTCAGATGCCTCTGTGGTCAGAAGGCGTGCCGTGACCACGACATGAGGTTCCTGGAAGCGACCCGACTCATGAGCGGCTGGTGGCAGGGAGGCGCGGCCATCTTCACAGCCTTTGATGACAGCCGTCCGTTTGCGCGAGAGGTCACGAGCGGCGTGCCTTGGGTATTGCCCTGGGAACAAGGGGGTTGCTTGGGGAGTGCACTGTTTGGGTTGGATGCAGAGGCGTGGAAGGGAGGGCCGCACCTCCGAGTGTTTGTCGTGAGCGACCCTGGAGAGGAGCCCGTGGTTTGCGTGCTTGGAGGAGAGGGTGCGCACTGTAGCAGTATCAACTGCACGGGTCCTGAGCGGTGCCGGCACCTTTTGAGTGTGCTTTTGAAGCAAACCATGCCCTTGATCGAGCGCGCAATTGATGGAGGCAGGAGCAAGGCGACGCGAATCGTTGCTGAGAGACGCGCCAAGAGGGTCGCGCAGCGGGAAGCAGGGGCAAGGAGGCTCTTGGTGTGCAACGACCCCATTTGCCGTCGGCCAGACTCGAAAGTCGTCTGCACCCACCGAGGAACTCTTGAGCCCTGGGAGTGCTTGTCAGCGGCGGCGCTCGACATGGGGCACAGCCACAAGAAGGTCGATACGATCATGAGCCGAGGTGGTGCAAGTGTTACGAGCCTTTGCGACCGGTGGGGCGAGGAGGGCGTGCGGCGGCGGGACAAGGCAAAGCATTTTTGTGCTCCAAGACCCGTCGAGGTGCTCGCGCCGTGCGGCCGCCCATGGCAGGTGGAGAGCAAAAGGGGGGCGCTGACAATGGCGGGGGCGCGCTACGAGGTGACCACCTATCGGAGAGTCTGCCGCATCACTCCTGGGCGAGAGGCGGCTTGCTGCTCAGTAGTCTACGACGGCCAGGTGAGTGTCAACATCCACAATCATGTACACCCGCGATCAGCTCTATTAGCCGATAGGACCATTCGTCTTCTGTTTCTAGCTTCAAGCACCTTTTTTAAACCTTGTGGCCCGTTATGCTCTTGGAGCGCTCTTACAACGACGTTCGTTTTGAGATAGTATCGTGCTTGATATGGCGGTCTAGGATCTGACACCCATGGCAGGCTGGAGAGATCACGTAACCGATACTTGCGCCGAGCATCCATAGTGGTCAAACAACCAAGAACAGTGTATCGCCTTCCAATACAATCATCGCAAACCGCGGCATTAGAATGAGGAGGGAAAGGCCATCGAAAGCATAGATCGGTCTGCTTACATAACATACATTTTTGCATGGAATACACTTTTGTGCAAGGATGCGGACCTGGCAAAGGCATCTTTGTTGATTGTGGATAGTGGTGCATTGATGTTCCAATGTAAGCATGCGCGTCCTTGCACGTACATGCGGCGTTTGAGAGGTCTTCAAGATCGAGCATTCCATTTTCAGCAATGATGCTGAGCACCGACCCAAATTGTACATTTGAGTTCATGCCAATATTCGACATTTGCAATAGCCATTAAATGGAGAAGACCATTTCAAACGCAATGATGATTGACCCTCTTGACTGCTGTTTGATTGCAGGAGGACGGCATCTTTAACTTCTCCGGCACGACGCTTCTCTCCCACGGCCTTCTGCTGCGCAACCACTTTGCGGCGGCCCTAGGGGCGGCCCACAGTCTCAACTTTGAGGCCGGCGATATGGCCGCGAGGTGCCTGGAGGGACCCGGAGTTTCGAGGCTAGACGATCGGGTGTTCGACTCCGCCATGCAGGCCTTCAACGACCTGGCAGCACGCGTAGAGATCCAGCACGTGTGTTCACGATCCGATTGCGCGCACCTCTACACGAGCGAGGTTGAAGCAGCCGAGGCGGAGGCGCGTGCGACTGGCGTCCCTCTGAAGGCGGAGCGAACGGAGGGGTTGACCTCGGAGTTGGCAACATTTGCATTTGGGCGAGACAAGGTCATCACCTTTGATGGCACCTTCTTTGCCAACTCGAGCGCCATGCGAGATTCGACCACGGAAGCGTCGCTGCATAGCATATGCGAGCCGGATCCGGAGGCGCCCAGGGTTGCTGGCGGCTTCACTCCTTTGAGCGTGGGCGGGGTGCGGCCCTCACAGGATGGGAACCGAGCGCCTTCGGACATGTTGCCAGAGGGGATCGACTGCCCTTGGAAGTACCGAAACGGACTTTCTGAGTTGCGGCCGGCCGTGCGAGCACTCGCGCAAAGGTGGTGCAACTTTCGAAAAGCTCCAGCCCAAGGGAGCAACGCGCCTTTAAAGTCGGAGGAGTTCGTCATGATGCGAGAAGGGCTGCCGGCAAACGTCGTTGCCCTGATCGACTTCGTGACGGAGGCGGGAGCGTGCGCCAACCCCGCCACGTGTGACGTTTGCCAGGCGGTCCCGAGGCGGCCTTGGATGCAAGGGTTCCTGAAGGAGGGGCCGGTGGGGCCAACCGGCTGGTGCCCAACCCATTTCCAAGCGTACGGGGCCCTTCTCCACGCCCTGCTTATTCCGAGGTACTCCTGGGTGTTCGGACGCGTCGTCACCTTAAAGTTGCTGCGCCACTTGCTACTAGAGGGGCCCCTTGACGCGCGAGGCATGGCGTACCTCTCCAACGACGGCCCCATGCTGGCGGCCGTTCTGCACCTCCATCCCACGGCAGAAGGGTTACACGCATTCCCCAAGACGTTGCGGCCACTCGTGCAGGATATCTACGCCATGAACCTCCTGTGCTTCGAGCCCAGCGCAAACCGGCCCAGCTCGCACAATTCGCGGTCGCCTCTGGCGGCCCTCCATGACGCCACCGAACACCTATGGACGATCGAAGGGGAGAGGCTGAGGCTCATGGGTCAGCTAGAGGCGGCCGCGATGGAGTGTGCGGAACAGAGGGGGGCAATTCTTAAGAGAGCCGCCAACTTGGTCCTTTTCAAGCTCGAGGTCCGCGAGCCCCCGTGCTACGAGGATGGCGGGTTTCTTCGAGCGCCGTCAACACTCTACGCGGAGCAGGCCGCCGCCGTTTCGGCGTACGCGTTCCATCCTTTGCTGTACGGACGACCGCGATTCGTGGACTGGGAGGACGAGGCTGGCCGGGGGAAGAAGGGGTCAGAGGAGCGTCTAACTCAACACTGCAGCGCCCCCAATCCACGATCGTCCAAGGGGCGAGCCGGAATCTTCATTGCGTGCTGCCAAGACCGGGCCCCCCTTGGGTACCACTGGCTCAAGGGCGGCGAGTCGGTCTCGGACCTCGGGACGATTCTTCTGACACGGTTTCCCTTCAAGACGCTGCGAGGCATGACCGTCGTGGAGGACGCTTCGTGCAACGCGCAAGAGTGGATGTTGAACCGGGTACCGCAATTGGCGAAGTTCATCCTGTTTGTCGTTGACCGCTTCCATTCGGGGCCCATCAGCTGCGCGCCATTGGGGGCAAAGCGCTACGCTACGCACATGTGTGCTCCGACACTCTTCATCGACTCTTTCCCGCAACATGAGCGGACAATCACGACAGCCTCGGAGGGCATCAATTCGGGGTTGAAGAGATGCGCAGCTAGTCTCCAGCAGATCACGAGCATCAAGAGGTTGATGAGCCGTGTCACAACGATCCTGGATACATTGTTCGAGCGATCAAAGTACGCGGTCTTTTGGAGAGAGGCTAACAGTCCGTTGAGAGACCTGATAAAGAGGATACGGGGCTGCTGATTAGCCTCATTACCCTAGTACTCATTACCCACCGCCTCAAGTTCTATTCTTTCATGTGGTGACGGGGGTGTTGAGAAGACTCTGTATATCCAAAATGAGTGGGTAATAGGGTAATAGAGTAATAGACATCATGTGTGGTTAAGGCTTCTTTCATGGATACTGTCATGTGTGTGTATGTTGTGTAAGGGTAATAAAAGAGTAACAAGCCATTCAGCATTCTTGAACCATTTCAAGGACTTTCCTTCATTGCATCTTCGATGCTCTTTTCCATCCTACACACTCACACATGACTGTTAGAATAATGATTATTGGTATTACTCTGTTACTCATCACCCATCGCCTCAAGTTCTATTTGTCATGTGGTGATATAGGTAATGAGAAGACTCGATCTACATATCCAAATTGAGTGGGTAATAGGGTAATAGAGTAATA